TGGTATTTTAAAAAAGTTGAGAGGTTATTTATAATGTTAAACCCCCCCCCCCCCAACGGCCAAACCCCCTTCCCCTCAAACGGCTATAATGCCATTGAGGAGCCCCCCACTAATCGCCCTGCAGTTCTGCAAAAGCAAGAAAAGAAAATAAAATAAAATGGTATCGGTGCCGGTACCGAAAAATGGCACCGGAATCGGTACTAATACCGTGTGGGACGGTTTCGGTACCTGTTCCCAGAACCGAAGCACCATGCCCGTCTCTGTTGACGGTAGCGGTACCGGCACCGGTAATGGTATCATACTAGTACCGTGTCCACCCTTACTTATACATCACTTTTGTACACTACAACTTTGTCTCAGCGATGGTGCATCTTTTACAAAATATCAGTACAATTGCAAAATTTAATATTAATTCAACATTTCTATTTGCAAATCACACAAGTTAGCACAACTATTAAATTAAGTTAGGGGAAATCTTTACCTAAAAATTTTTTGACTCCAAAATCAAAATTAACTTATGGGGTGCAATTGAAGGGGTGAGGTGTGTTTGGGTCAGGGCAGGGTTGGGGGTTTATTAGTGGGGTTAGAGAGGCATGAACCGTCAATTTTATGAACGGGGCACCGGACCACTCCCAGGTTTTGAAAAATGAATGAAAAATAATGAGAGAGAGTCCATACGAAAGATTTTAAAATCATGATGATTTCATAATTATGTTTTGAAAATAAGAAGATATTGATGTTCTTTTTTTAAACAATAATGTTACTTATCCATCACTTTTGTACACCGTAATTTTGTATCAGCGATGACGCATCCTTTGAGTTGTATCAGTGATGGCGCATCTTTTTACAAAATGTCAGTACAATCGCAAAATTTTACACTATCATTTTATTTAAGTATGAATCAGCAAAGTTGGGATACAAAATTATGATTTACAAAAGGGAGATGATAGGGATACACCAAAGGTGTACCCAAATGTCCCCCAACCCCTCCATAACCATTTATTTTTATTTACTTATTTATTTTAAATTTATTTGCCTATTTTTGTGGACAAGGAGGGGGTGTGGGACATTGGGATACACTTTTGGTGTATCTCTAGCATTTTCCTTTACAAAATGATGTAAACCTAAGATAATGTACACCTAAGATAGTCCTTTTTTAAAACCAATGTGAGTCTCTTATCCTTATTGAGTTACCAACCAAACAGAGCTTAGACTTGTCACGTTTTTTCCAATACCCGAGAGAAGTAAATTGACTTGATCCATTCGCCCCCCCGAACTTAAAAAAACTCGAAAGCCCGCCCAAAGAAATTCCAAGAATTGCAATTTTGTCCATCCTTTTCCAAAAATATACCACCGAAATTTGAAATCTTTAACCTTCCCCAAGCCGCAAAAGCGCCTCTTCCTTCCGGAGAAAATGGCAAAGATTTCTGAACACAAAATCAGCGAAGGTCAATGAGAATACGGAGACCCGAATCGGAAAAATCTTTCCATAATCGTCTCCTTTGTGTGGGTACAAAGAGAAGCCAACAAAACTCGAGCTCACTAATCTGGTAAGTGCTTTAATGGCGCCCCCTTAGCTGTAATCAATTCGTCAGTTTCTCTCTCTCTCTCTCTCGCTTTTTCTTTCCAAGAAACCCCATTTGTTGGATTTATTGTACAAAAGTATGGAAAAAAGGACTCCATTAATGATTATTCTGAGTCTGGAGGCTTTATTATCGTAAATAGAAAGCCTTTTGGTGGGGACTATGGGTATGGTATGGGTAGCATTGTATGCTTTTGTGAGGATAAGAGAGTATCTCTCTCTCACGTTTTAAGTACACGCTGCTTCTGAAAGCTAGAGAGAGAAAAGGGATCTTTATAGTGAGATAAAGTTTGTGGTAAAGAGGTTTGTGACTTTTCCGTCTTTTATGTGTTGGCAGGTATAGATTTTGAAAGAATTTCAGATTGGGTGCCTCTTTTTTTTGAGATTAATTGAGTGTTTTTTAATGGGGGGACTATTATAAATCTATAACTTTGAATTCGAGAATGTTGGGTTTTACTAAAGTTTGAATCTTTTTTACTTCTTGTTATGGGACTATTGCCTTTTCAGTTTTTCACAATGTATTTTAGCCAAAGGGAATGAGATTCTGCTGCAGATAAGCTTATGGGCTGGGTTGGAAAAGGGGAGAAATATGGTTATGCTTTTTGTGAGTTAGTTTTGCTTGTGATTGGTGAAACATAGAAAGTTTCAATTTTTTTTCCCTGAGAATTTTCATTTTTTCTCATTTGTGATGATTAGCTTCATCTCCTCCTCATCTTCTTCTTCTTATTTTTTTCAAACTCTTGAGTGATTTTTCTCTGCAATTTCTTGATCCTTTGGTTGAATTTTTTCAAAAGATTCAATCTTTAATTCCTAAGAGTAATAGTCATTTGTTATTTTGAAAAATATATTTATTTAATGATGTGATTTTGTCTTGTAACATAATTGTTCACGAGGTTGTGTCAGGAAATAAAGAAATCCAAAAAGAAAATGAAAAAAAATCTTTTTTTTACCTCATCACCTCAGAGCATTATCTGATAGCCTTATTTTTCACCTTCTCACACTGCTGTGTTCTCATAGCTTCTCTGCTTTGCAACCTGTAAAGATTCTAAGTGTCCAATAAACACTGTACTCTCTTACTCATCCTACACCTGTACTAAAGATCTTTACACCTCTCTCTTCTCTCTCTCTCTCTCTCTCAAATTTTCTTTAATCCCAGGGAGAAAATGGGGAAAACAATAAGGTGGCTGAAGGGCTTGTTTGGCATGAAGAAAGACAGGGAAAAGAGATCTCAGCATCCTGCAAACCCCCCTGTGCAGGATTCTTCATGGTTGAGAGCTTACATGGATGAGTCAGAGAAAGAACAGAATAGACATGCGGTTGCTGTGGCGGCAGCCACCGCGGCTGCCGCAGATGCGGCGGTGGCAGCCGCTCAGGCCGCTGTTGCGGTGGTCAGGCTTACCAGCCAAGGGAGAGGGACTGTGTTCAATGTAGGGAGGGAGAAATTTGCTGCCCTCAAAATTCAATCTGTTTTCAGGGGCTATTTAGTAAGTTGATCAATTAATTCTCCATTTTTCTTCTTCCTCCCAGTACAAATGCATTTAAATTTCTTTTTCTTTCTTGGTATTGTTGTTATTATTAAATCAGTTCCAGTATTCAATTCTCTTCTGAATTGACTGTTTTTGTATTCCTTAAAAAAACCTTTTGAACTGTTTTCAAGTATGTGTTGTCACTGTTGTGTCTTCGTGTAAAAATTGAATCTTGATAATCGTGGTTAAACTTAGGCTATGTTTGGGATGTGGAAAATGGTAGGAAAAGGAAAAAAAAAACGCCAAGGAAAATACTTTATTCTCCCTCCCTCCCTAAAAAAAAAAATCTTCCCATTTAACTTTTCTTAAATCTTCCTTAAAAAAGTATTTCATAGTTCTTTATGTAATAGAAATATACAAATAAAATGAATTTTAGTAATAGAAATATACAAATAAAATGAATTTTAGTATGCAGTATTTAAATGTGATCAATTAAGTTTGCACCTTTTCTATTTAAAAAATTCCAAGATTTTTTCCTTCCAAATTTTACCACTTTTTCTTTCCCTAGGATTTTCCTGGTTCCAAAGTGACCTTTAAAGCCTAGAACTTTGCAATTGATTAATATATATGGATTATCCCAAACAAAGTTCTTGGAATTCACTCCCCTGTCTGATGCAAAGATCTGATTTTTATGTTGTCATTGGTCCTTTTGCAGGCCAGAAAAGCTCTGAGAGCTCTGAAGGGACTAGTGAAAATACAGGCCCTGGTAAGGGGTTATCTTGTTAGAAAAAGAGCAGCTGCCACTCTTCACAGTATGCAAGCTCTCATCCGAGCCCAATCCGCTGCCCGTTCTCAAAGAGCCCGTCGTTCAATGACCATTGACACCCGATTCCAGCCCGAAACGCGCGCCAGGAAGTCCATCGTAAGAGCCCGTTTGGATTGCGAAAAACGATATTGATTAAGTTGCTGAAATTGATGAATTGTGAAAAATATATATGTATATTTTGCCATGCTTGTGTTCTTGCAGGAGAGGTTTGATGAGTGCAGAAGTGCCTTCCACAGCAAGAGGCTTTCTGCGTCTTCATATGACACCACAATCAACTCTGGATTCGACGAGAGCCCCAAGATCGTGGAGATCGACACGTTCAAGCTGAAATCGAAGACCCGCAACGCGTGCATGTCCGAATGCGGGGACCACCACCACTACTACCACCACGCGCCCTCGTGTCCGGGTCCCGGAAGGCTGTCCATCCCGGATTTCGACTGGAGTTTTCTCGGCGAGGATTTGGCGGGAAAGTTCCACACTGCCCAAAACACCCCCCGGGCAGGGGGGGCGAGGAACGCGCCCCCCACCCCGCCCAAGAGCGTGTGCGGGGACCACTTCCCGAGCTACATGGCGAACACGCAGTCGTTCCGGGCGAAGCTGAGGTCGCAGAGCGCCCCGAGGCAGAGGCCGGAGGGCGCGGCGGGCCCCAGGAAGAAGAGGATGTCACTGAATGACATCATGGCATCAAGGAGTAGCTTTACTGGTGTTAGGATGCAAACCCAAACCCCTTGTTGTTCTAAAGCTAGAGAAGAATATCACTACTGATTTTATTTTATTTTATCTGATTTAAAAAAAAAGAACACTTCACTTTTAGTTTTAACAATGTTTTGCGTGAAGTCTTTACATGTATTGCTTAGTCTAAGATTAAAATTTCATTTCCCTAGTAGAGTTCTTGGATTCTAAAAAAAAAAAAGATGAGCCCATTTCCGAGGTGGGACCCGTCAGATTTGGCCGGACGGTCACTGAGATGAGATAAATTGGATTTTAATCGCATATTGGTGGTAAAAAGTGAAGTCCGCACCTGATACTTGCAAAGGTCTGAGGCTTAGTGTTAGGCGTGTCGTAGCACCTACAAATTAATTTATTCTTTTCCTTTACTTAGTTTCTTCTTGTAAAAATAATATTTATTAAATCTATAGATAGGATAAGTAAGAGTCGATCCCACGAGGAAAGATATTTTTTAGGCTATGAAAATCGGTTTACTTTGTCACTTTTTATTGAGTGAAAACAACTATCTAAAATCTATAAACTAAATTAAAAGATGGGGGGTTTGAAAATTGTTTTCTAAATAAAGTAAAAAAACTAACTAAAGTGACACACCACACCAGAACAAATCTCAAAACAAACCAAGGATAAAAACAGAACATAACTCCACCAAAAAGCCCAAACGAAGAAGACAAGCACACATATCACAATAATTTAGAGTCTTACACATTTTTAGAAAACCAACAAACTGTTTTATAATATAGAAAATAAATATCCAGGATCAAAACTTTGTTGAAAACCAGCATAATCATCAACCAACTATAAATTAAAACAAGGGTCCGACTGAAAAAGAGGTCCACCAACGGTTCTTTCCTATTTTCCCATTCATAAAAGCTCATGTTAGGACCAACCCTAACTCTAAAACCTACTACCCTTAGCAACCCAAAGACCAACCCTTAGATTACTACTAAGAATAGTGTATTAAGATTTGTGGAAAACATCACCGTAACAATCTTGCAGTAACACGAAGGTTATTTAACAAAATCAGTTTGAGAACCTTGATTAGCAAAAAACCACTTAACGAGGCAGCCTAGGTTAATCAAGTGACACTTGGTTTCTAGAAAAGTTCGGCTTTTTAAAGCTCTTTGAACTTTAAAAGAATATCATTTTAAATTGGATTAGGTCGCGATCCTAATTTGACCCAACTTAAGTAAAATCAATTGAAAAGTAGTTCTCAAACACCTTTGAATTAATTTATAAGTAGCAAAAACTGGAATTATTTTAAGAGTATTAAACTTGAAGTAAAAGTGTAAACCCATAGACAGATTTAATTTTAAGCAACAAGATTCAATACTTCTTCCAAAAATTCTGGTTTCA